GCACAGATCATTTTCTGCTAACTTCACTGGGTCTGAAAAACTGTCTCCTACCCAGAACGCAGTTCTTATCAGCAGACGGTGACAAGTGTGATAAGTTCATGACCCTGGCATATCCACAGTGTCACAGATTTGTCAATGTCAGTCCACCATTGTCTGAACCAGAGAGGAAATTAAGAATCGAGAGGATAATTGATTACAACAGAAAAAAGAGCAAAGAAGCAATGTAATGTGGGAAAAAAATAAAAATAAAATCACATTCTGTCCTAATTCTCACTACCTGATATCAGAATTTTATTATACTTCCAATGAAGACGGAAGGATGTTTAAGGCCAAACATTTAGAGAGTGTATCACCACATCACCCCGTCAGAATCTTTGATTGCATCAACAACAGGGTGTCCAGCTTTTGTCCCCTCAGTGAGGCTCAAGCTTTATACAAGCATTTCCAGTTTGTTATGATATTACACACTTTGGCAGAGTGAAAAGAGTTAAGACACACTACCAACGGTAGTGGGCTGCCACCCATAAAGGAAAAGTCAAAAACAAAGAAAGCAGTGGGTCGCACTGCTGGCCCAAAGGCAAAAACTACTTAATTAATAAAACATTTTAACTACAGGGTCTTTGTCAGGGCATAATTTACCCTGTAAAGTGACTCATACTTCTACAATGCAACCATTTGCATCCCACACATACTACATGGACATATTCCTGGCTTTACTTAGCATACATAAGCTTCTATTGAAATATTCCCATGGAACATACACACAGATACATTCACAAATTGAAACAAAGAAAGAAAATAAAATATGTACTTCAGAGCACATCCATATCGACTGCTCCTGCAGTCATGAAAAGCCTAAATGTCATTGCATCCTCTACTGATGTGCTCATCTTTCCTCCAGCAGCACAAACTCTAAGCCCTCCAAAAGCTATTTCCTCTGCTGGCCTTGAGTCTGGCTTGCAGCTTTGGAAAAAACAGTGCGGCTGCCCTGACATTCACCAGCTAGCTTGGGCCATATTAGGTGGAAGGAAGGAAACAGGCAGCTCTGACCATCTCTCACTCTGATTAATGCTTCAGAGAGTCTTTTGGATTTGGCATGTGGTGGCTGAACTGATGCCAGCCTGTCTAGTCCTGACATATTGGGCAGGCAGGCAGACATGCAGGGACATCAAACACAGCACACTGAAGAGAAGTCAGCTCTTGTCTCCATTTCAAACAGGGATAAAACAACAAGCTATGCTACCTTTCCTGACCCCACAACCCTTTACAAGAGTACGTGGTATTTGAGCGGCATTGGGCGTACACTGCAGTTTCGTATGTTTCTCATATATTTGTACATGTGCAAAAATGACACATTTGATTTTGTTTGAGGTAGGCTATCTTCAGGCCACCCACTCTGACCTCCTTTTCACACGCTAAAGGATAAAGCATTTGGCAGAGAGCAGAGATATCTGCTCACAATGATGACAGCGGAGGCCTAGCTATCAGCTTTCCCTCGTGAAGCACACAGAGCACGAGAGACCTTGATATCTCATATTGTACAGACATTAGGTCCTCTATTGTTTAGTCAACAGATCAATAGGAGCCGTGTTGAACTTGAGCCTTGTAGCACTCTGACTTCAAAACATCATCATCTATTCATGAGGCTGCTGGTGAACTGCAAAACTTCTTGGGCCTCTGGTAGGTGGCGTATTCAGGGGTTTTTGTTTTAATTACTTTTGTTAGCTACGTGCACAGAATACACATGCACACGATGGATGCAAAATATAAATCAGAGGTCATTTGCAACACCCAATAAGTTATGCCTACTACTAAGGATTTTGTATGGAAAATTTTATCGGCGATAAATGTATGACAGTTGAGGAAAGTGTGCAAGTGCTGAACATCATTTGCAAATCAAAGAAGCATTAACTGAGCATATGGGAAACAAAGCCTTAAGTGATAAAGAGCCATGACGTTATAGCAGCACTGACATGAGAAAAAGGTACCCATGCTGGCTGAGCCCGTCAGCTGCTATTCTTAATATCTGCGTCTGCACAGTTACATAAGGACATATTGGTTAAAAAAAGAAGTTGTGAATAAAAATGGACAGAGCTGTCTCAGTCAGATGAGAAAGAAAATTCTAGGAATGAGTCCTGCTGTAGGTAAAAGAGGAGGAGGAATGATGAGCACTTACAAGAGCAAGCATGGAAAAACATGCGCACACAGGATGAATAAAATACAAGTGTAAACATGGGCAGTGAAAGTAGATATGAACTATTCCAAAATGTGTTTTAATCACTGATTCAAGACAATTAGCAAGTGGTAAGAAACATAAGGAAGAGAGACACAGAAAGAAAGAGGCATAAGTGCTTTCTCTAGAAGACATTGTGAGGAGGGTTGGGGCTGGATGATCAGGCTAAGAGCTAACAGATGTGCTACAAATGTCTTGCATGTCAAGCTGCCACGCCATGGCTAGAACCAAACAGCACTGCACAGGTCTGGACAAAGGAACCAGAGAAAGGAGGAGGAGGAGGAGGAGGAGGAGGAAGAGGGTGTTTGAATAAAAAGCCAGAGACACTACAATATCAAGACTAACAGAGACTGACAGAAAGTAAGAGAAAACAGGAAGAAAGAGCAGCAATAAGCAACTCTATAAATAAAATGCATTTAAACAAAGCATTTCTACCTTTCTACTGGCTGTGGGAAAACCCAGTGACCTTCATCTCTCATCTTAACTCTAACATTCCTAGCTGAAGGATAGAAACCACCTGAAGTATTTATGTGTGCGTGTGTGTGTAAAATGTCCATGCTTCAAGCCAGGTTCTTTCAAATGGAAGATAATGGGACCCATAATGGCACCAACACTAAAACAGTCAATTACTCTACTGGCAGATTGAATGTAGATGTTTCAGGGAAAGACTACAAAGACCAAAGGGCATCAAACAAACTATTCCACAATTAAAACAAGCTTTGCCTAATTCATCTTCACATTCATCCAAACATTTTCTCAGAAGTGAAAAACACTCACAAAATGTTGTGGCCATGCAACTACACCAATTCACTGATCAAAACAATCCAAAACTTGATGGATGAGTTCAAGAGTGTGTCATTTTTATCGCCCTTCATTTGTAACTTCCAAATGATCGAGATACTTTAATTGTACTTGTTTAACATCTGTCTGTAAGCATGATGCCCTCGACTGTACTGAAGACTGCGCTGTGTCGAGCTTCTGCAAACCCACATCTCAGCAATTAAGCTGGTGAGAAAGATGTTATAACCAATGTATATACCAATAGGAAAGACTACAAAACTACAAACATACTAACCATCACATTTTTCCACCTGTGTGTACACAGATTTAGCTACAGGCAACCAACAACAACATGACAACAATCAATTGTCTGTGAACAAGAGATTCCAGTTTAGAAACAGCCAATTTTGTACGCTTGAAAATGCACAGCACAAAAGCCAACTGGGATGAAAGGATGGTGGAGAGGGGGGCAGTGTGGTATTTGGGTCAACACTGTTCATATTTCAGCCTTTAATTTGTTTACTCTCTGAAAAAACGCTTGCCAATATAACATGGTACTTTTGCACAGTGCTGTTTTGGCCCACTGCTCCAAGCTCTCTGTACTACCTTCTCTCCAAAAGCTTTTAAGTCTCCTAATGAGATTAATTAAGCCAGTCCAGAGTTTGTTTAATGAGGCCCCAGTGGCCTGAAGCACGGAAAGGACCAACACTGGGAAATAGAAGCTTCACTTCCCAAAATAAAAAAGGACCAAAAATTTAAAGGGGTTTTTAAAAAGAGGGTTTAAAAAGTTAACAATTGAGTAAAGTGGTGATAATCTACTTAGCTACAGGGCAGTGGGGACACTTTTGAAGAATGGCAATTCAGTCCTGCAACTTACTGGCGAGCAACTAAACTGACACCAGTATACATTTCAGTCTAAGTGCCCTTGATTGTCTCTCTGCCTCCTCTGAAAGAGGCCTAATGTAGCGGACTACACTCTTAACCACACAATTTTAACAACTTCTATATGGCTGATGGTTACATCTATGCGGTGGTCTTATGCAATTTCTGAACATGTAAAATTTTCACTGCTCTCAGATTGCCTTTCTCAACATTTGTTTTATTTATTTTGAGCACTACTTTAATAACTTTTCTGATGCTCAATACAGCAGGTCAGTTATCCATGAGATATCTTAAATATAGTGGAAATTGTAGAGAAAAGAAAGTCTTGAATGACTATTTGTCAACTTCTCATTCTCAATTTCTGGCTCATCTGTAAAAAAACAGTCATCTGCATCCAGATACTTTCTTGCATTGATGCATTTAATTCAAAATCAATTACTGATCTTTATTGATCTTTCTATATGTGATGTAATATACTGTAAACAGTGAGGCATCCACAGACTGAATCCACATCACACAATGTAGTCTTGGCTGTTCCTGACTCATGGCGAGCTACCGTCAGTGCTGTGATGCTGCTGGTAATTCACTTACACCATATCAAGTGGTTCCTAATGCACCAACAGTTTTACCTTTCACATCACAAATTTGATTCAGAAGTTATCCAGATGAAATTTATGTGTCAGGTAATACATCAGACGGGGCCCTTGGAGAGAGTTGGAGTGAAATAAACAGATCAAATGCCATTTGGTCAAAGCAGAGCCAATACTTCACCTCAGCCTAGATGCAGAGGCCTTTACAGTCAGTGGAAGCTAGATCCCTATTTCTCTGACTACACAGAATCACACCCCAGTCACATCAGACAGATAATCTGGCACTCTGTGTGGGAGGTTTTTAAAAAGGCACACACTAACTCCCCTGGATCAGCACCACACTCAGACAAATACAGTATCTAAGATAGAGGTAACCATGAGCTCAGACAGGGAGGGAGACCCTGGATATACAAAACACAAAGAGGGAAAACAGTTAGAAAGAGTAAACAAGGAAACGCTGAGAAACAAATCCCCGATAATATGTTTTCATATATAAATAATTCATTTAGTCTTACCTATTTGCCTCTCCAGGTCAGCTGCTTCATCAGGAGTAGCCCTGGGCAGCACCCCTGGGTCGCTGAAACTGGTTCTCAGGAGTGTCCCCAGTACAAACATAAACAGCACACCTCCTATGACTGGGATAACTGGGGTCAACTGCAGTGCCAGGAACGGACAACTGGTAGGACAGGAAGAGATGGGGAGAGAAAGAGAAGTAAGCAAATTGTAAACAAGGGACACAGGATCCAGTCTGACTAGTAATGCTGTTGGCCTGAGGGGCAGGTAGGTGTCTGTCTAACAAACTACAACAGGAGGAAATGGTAATACCTGTGACTTGTTGGTTAATGACCAGTAAGTGGATATAACCCCTTAACAGAAAGGCACACATGTAAGGGTCAGTCCTCTGTGTTGTAATCTGTTCTACTGAGACAGTTTAGTATAATCCCATTAAACGTCCAACAGGTGGTTATTACAGTAATCACATTCAGTCCCACAGGGGTGGGGCACAGGCTGCCGCATCCCAATTCATTTGTTAGTGTCTGGTCTATTGGATTGGGTTTAAGGTCAGCAAAGAGGTGCCACTCCAGACAAGGGAAATTAAATGAACATGTCGTAACCGTATGTTTTGAGGGATGCTGTAGAGGAATGCAAACTAGTACTGCGAGTTGAGCTGGGATTCACAATAATATTAGTGTTTAAATCTGAATACTTTACACTGGACCATCCTCAAAATGTCTTAGTGTAGGAACAGGTCATTAGTTTTTCTATGAGCTCCATTACTGAGAAAGCAGTATTTGTTGCAATGTGTCAGTGTATACTGAATCAACAAAAAGCTGGTTGGGAGAATAGGTATGACAGGCATTTACTAAGTACATTTACATTCCAGTTATTTCAGGACCAATGCAGAGAAACAGTGACTTTAGATCATAAATAAACTGAAGCTGCTTAAAGAGACACTGATGGCGACAGTATAGAGACAGTGGTCAACCACAGTGGTTACACTGTTGAACCACATTGTTTTTCCAAATGCATTTTTGCTGCAACAAAAACACCAACCCATAAAGCCCTTCTTTAGATTTATCATAGCAGCATGTTTGTGTTTTTTTTTTTTTTTTTTTTCTAATAACATCTCACCAGCCTTCAGATGGCAACACCTTGGGAGGGCAGTTACATCCGCCAATCCATGCCAACAACAGTTATTCTCGTTAACCAAGCCAAACTATATTTAGGCTTGCCATGTTGGGCTCCATCAATGATAGTGGGTGGGGAGGATGTAAATATGGACTATGGATTCACTTAAATGTTCTGAGCTGTGCTAATTGGGGTCCTAGCATCACCTGCACACACTGCCTGCTTTCACCTGAACAGCTGGAGATGAATGCCCTTCAGACAAAAGGTCAGCCAACATGACGTCCTAGCAAACAACACAAAAATGTACAAATGTGACGGTACACTTGCATGTTGTCCTTAAGCTGAGTAAGTCAGTTCACTATATTTTTTTATTTAAAAAAAGAAAAAAAGACCAAATCTACATCAGGTGCATACAATACTCGCGCTGTTTTGAAGAACACTTAAGATATGGCAAATACACTTTCTACAATTCATCCTATTACCCCATCTGAGTGGACGCCGGCCAGTCCTGCTGTTTCTCTACATCTGGAGTGAGACTGAACTAAGCAAAAAACACTGGGTTGTCTGGGACATCAGCAGGGGGCTGCAGGCAGGACAACACTGTGCAGCATAAACATTTCTCCTGTTAGAAACTTGCCTGGAGTTCCCAAGGTCATTGTACTGGACACTGACTGTGTCAACCTACAATATACACAACTTATGTCAGACACTTGCTAACAGGGCATTCATTTTACAGCCATCAGTGCTTTGTCATTCTTCCACAGCTTTAGTCTTCTGAACTGGGCTGGGTGGACACACATCATCCTTCCCATCTTTGGCTGAGGCAATGCTGCAGACTAACTTTCTGCTTATTATCTTCCAAATCAGTCTGTCATTGTTTAAACAAAAAGCAACTCTGTTGTTCCTGCCCATCAAACACTTTGTCTGCAAACATTGTAAGCACCAGTAGCACATACTCAGTTGAACTATTCCACATTCATACCACACTGCAGACGTAGGAAACTTTACTAGATACCATTCATCTAGACAACAGAAGTGTACATTACATTGCACAATTATTAGCTTGCAATTACATTAACCCACGTCCAGTATACATGTAGCTGTGAATACTGTCAACATTTGCCATTGAGATATACCTTGCGAAGAGCTGGTAAAAACAAAATGAATGCAAAATGCATCTATATGTTTTACATAAAGACAAGTTTGATTCAGCTGTTGGAAAGGAAATAAATAAAAGAATGGCAGCGGATTTCTGACCATTTAGGCAGTGCTGAGAGGAAAACATATGATCGATCAAAAAACAATGACTTGTCTGCTGATGGCTAGCTTTTCACAGTGGAGCACTAATATTGTGTTATTGTGCTAGGCTAGTTCTGTTTCACAACAGACACTCTACAGAGAGTTTGTTTTGTTTCTGCTTGAAATGATCCCAAACTTTAGACACTTGCTTTTGTCTTTTCTCTGGCCTGCCTATTCTCTCTTAGCCCCTCGCTATTTTGTCTCTCGTGTGTGACAGTAATACTTATCCATGCAAAACACAGTGCGCTGTATGACTGGATATAGTCATAGATTAAACACAGAAATTGCTTGCTTGATTTCTAGTAACTGAGTTACTCAAGTAACTGTTTCAGCCCTACACATGGGTAATTTATTAAAATATTTTAGAACAAGTTATGGTAAAAACAACACAATCAAACTTGGCTGCCACAAGTCAGTCCCCCAAAAATGCTGTCTGCTGGGAGAAGACATGCCTGTCTAATTGTTGCTAACAACCACTGTGTTCAAGTCTGGTATTTGAGAGCACTGTGAGGGTATAGTCAAGAGCTTTGCCACAGGAAATCATGACATTTCAATGTCTCATGTCATTACTCAACATCTTTTCATCTACCCATTCAGTCTGTCCTCTATTTTGTCTAAATGGTCACACATCACATAATGAATCCTCCAATTAGGGGCGCTAATGGGAAATCACTGCAGGTGTAAAAAAGCTTAGCAGACCTTGAGTGAGGGTGCTACATCTGTAACAATTAACCCAGCCAAGATTTGAATGGTTTTGAAGTAATCAATAAAAAGTCAAGCTCCCCACTGAAATGTCAAATATTCACAAAGGTCATTTAGAGCTACAAATTTACAGAATCCTTTGAACGCACTGCATGTCCTCTCTTTCTATAGGGAAAGCTGTTGTGCAGGTTTGTGCTTTCTTCAATAAAAGCATTATTATATTTCAAACCTTGTCATGTGGCTAGAAGTGATGGAGATGGCTGAGAGTACAGCACAAACTGCTGCCTCAGAAGCTGTGTCTCAATGTGTCCGACATCAGGAACATAATGAAAAGGCAGTCATGTGTGATAGAAAGTGACAGGCCGGTAGAAGCGGACAGAGATTAAACACTGAAGCCATTAGAGAGGGAGGAGAGATGCGACATCAAGCCCGCCTCTCCGACATGGATCAATAGAGATATGTGGACGAGCTGCAGGTAGGCAACATCTTGCCTGGTTTAAGATCCCACTAAAGACGTTGTCCCCAAAATCAATTTTTATCAGTGACTGACCATGAGTGGTGAAGACAATGAGCAATTTGAACAATTGTCTTTTCTGTTAAGGACTGTAAGGAGTGGATATCGACAGGAACTGGGCGTTTCCAAAGTTACATCCTAATTCACCTTTTATTTAATACCAAATCTTATATTTAACTGGGACTTTAGGGGCTTTGTTGCCATGGAGACGGACAGTATCCAATGTCAGACATGGTAAATTTTGAAAGGGAATGTGGTTACCCTGGAAACAGCCACATAAGTGAGCTGAAGCCTCCAAGGAAGAAGAAAAAAAAAAGAAACAAAAGACATTCAACAAGACAGAGACAGCATGAGGACATTCATTACAATACTTTTAAATGTCTCAACAAACCATTTGATTGATGAGGACGAGCGGATTGTTGGATTTGATCCAGAAATAGTGCCAAGACAGATGTCGTCACTGGGTGCTGACCACAGAAGATATCTGAGTTGAGGACTAAGGTGGGGGACGCCTTTATGCTGTATTTGGTCTTAGCATAGTTCTACATTTCTTAGTTTTCAATTTCCAGGACTGCTGTGAATGAGTGTGTAGGCTGGGACATGGGACTGGAAGTACTCTACACTCAATACATACATTAAGCCTGAACACACTTATATGGCAAACAGAATTAGAGGTCAACCCTGCTAACAATAATTTATTTTCATTCTTGCACATTCAAAACTGACAGGAAAAAAGCCTAAAACAACAAATCTCTGACTGCATGAGTCGGACTAATACTCAATTAAGAAAAAAAGCCAGACATTTAAGATCTTTGGATAGCACACCGTACCCTAAACAACAATGTACAGATTACAATACAGAGATCTCTAAACAGGCAGATCATTGTTACTGTGGGATCATTCAGAATAGAAAATATCAAAAATAAACACATCTTGATTGTCTCAACTGTTGTCATTGAGTCCCTGGAGGCTAACACATTCATGTTATTTAATTGAAGCTGCGGTTGTGTGTGCTATAGCTGGTTTGGAAAAAAACAAGGTCTGTGATGACGGCTCTTTGACAGCTTGTACTGATAATTAATCATCAAAGGTAGGTACCCATTTACAAACTGTACAGTGTGACTGTCAAAGTCTGTGTGAATTATTGACTGCTGCAGGCAGTGCAATAAAAATATGATAGATAATTCATAGGGCAAATACCATAATGATATATAGTTAACACATCTGCAAGAGATATTAGTGCAGAGCAAAGAGCAGCAATGACCAATGCCTTTAATCAGAGGGTGGTACAATCCTTCAGATAGCAATAAGCAGCAGTATGACACATTGTTGACTTAAAGAAAATCTAATGTTTGCTTTGTATTTAAATAAGGAATGATTGTTGCTTCATTCTTGTATTCAACTGGAGTGACTCACATCTCAACATGGTGCTGACACACATGAGCCCAGTGCACAGAAAAGTTAGCAGATCAGACTCTGTTATAGATTATTGGTTTGGTTTTGAATCCCATGGCCAAAATAAAGTATTTAAG